CACCTATTACCTATAAGAATTTAGAGCAAACATTATGTGGAATGTATGATTTATATGCGTAAAGAATGGGTGTGAATGTTAGTCGGGTATTCTCTGCACCTATTCCTTCTGCTGAAATTGAAGAAGATGATGCCGAAATAATGAATTTATTTCAAGACATTAATACATTTAGATATGATGTAATTGCAATGTGTTCATCCAGTGTCATGTTATCTACATTTGCATCTCATCAAATATCGATCGAAACTCAAAATACGATGCCTGCTGAATTAATTGATTACTTCAATCATAATATACCAACAGACAGAACAATTAAAAAAAGTTCAGAAGAAGTAATTAAATACTGGTGAAAGTATGAAAGACGCTGGCCAATTGTTTCTGCAAATGTGAAAGATATGCTGACACCTCCGGTTAGCACTGTTGCTTCAGAGTCTGCTTTTAGTGTAGGTATAAGGGTTTTGACTGATGTCAAGAGCCGATTGAAAGAAGATATTTTGGAAGCGTTAATGTGCGTGAAGGATTGGTAGGACGCTCATTTTCGACTACAAGATAAATACGCTGAAATTGCATGTCGTCAGGTAAGTGATATTTGATTTAATTATATTAATCAAAAATTTCTTTATTTTTTAATCGTTAAATTTTATTTTCTTGAAAAAATTGTACACGTTACAACAAGTTGTTCGTGTACAATTTTTAACTCCGCCTACTTAAAATTGATGTAGCCGGTTTCAAATCCGGATAAAGGAGAAGGGTTTACATTTTATCTACTTTAAAAAGAAATCAAAAAAATATATTTTTTGTAAATGTATTTCAAAAAATAATTCATCTTCATTATATAAATATTTTATACTTTATAAAAAATATTACAATATGATATAAATAAAAAATAAAAAAGTGTCTTCATTAAATTATTTGTATTTTTTAACACTTTTTATTTTTTTAAAAGTGTTTTTATTACATTATTTCATTTATTTGTCTTTTTCTCTTTAAAAATAAGGGACGAGCCACGAGCCAAAGCTCGGCTTGGCCCACGAGCTCGGACGAGCCACGAGCTCGTGGGCCTAGCCGAGTTCGTCCAAATTCAAAGAGCCACGACCTCGGCTCGCCACGAGCACGAGATGAGCTTGTGAGGTTAGCTCATATTCAGGAGAGAAGTTACCATCCATGTTGAATGGGACCTCAGTATGTCGGCTAGAAGCATAATTTGAGTAGATGTCCACTTCCACTTTCCTTTCTTGGAAAATATCTTTCCTAGCTTATCGCTGATAGCCCTTTTTTGTCTTTGAAACTCTTCTTGTGATAGTACCCATTGTTGGCACGGAAGGGAAAATTGGTTGTCCCTAAGGTGCATAATAGCCTCTTTAATGCGCATAAGGATAAATTGATTGCCTACTTAAACATGCATTAGCTTAAGTAGTTTCTGCATGGCAACGCTCTGTTGAGTGATATTCCTCATGTTGGCAGCTATAGTCGCCATCTCTTTAGTGACCTTGGCAGCTACCCTTATCGCACCTCGTCTATGATGGAGGTGAGTTCGGTGACGAGCACTTGGGACAGTGTATGAAGGTCTCCTTTCTTCAAGGTTTTTCTTGTACTTTTTGGGACTATATCTTCGTTTTCAAAACTCAATCATGCATCTTTTCTTCAAAGATAGATTTTATCAAAGTATCTTTTATCCCAATGTGCTCTTTTTCCAAACTGCTTAATGTTAAAGCTAGTATTTTTTCCTTGGGGTGTTCGTTTGCTCTTTTTTAAGGACAAATCCTTTTTGTCAAAGGGCAAAGCCCACATGACTATTAAGTAAGCTTTTTCCATTGGATATTCGTGGTTAAATTTTCGTTTTCCATAGAAAACACCCATCTATTCACCCCAAGAACAAGCCAACAGAAACTTGGGCCCTACCTCGCGTCTAGTAAGTGAAAGACCAAGCCACATGTAAGGGGAGTTGCTCTTTTGGAAACGAGATAAAATATTTGTAGAACAATCTCCAATACTTAGACGAGCAAAATTATAATTTTTTTTAAAAACTAGAGAGGGAATTAAAGCTTTTGGTATTTAGAATTGCACCAGCTTTGAAATGAGACAAGAGAATGTATTTATAGTATTACAATTAAATCCATGACCGTTGAATGAAGTGCACCCATTACATATGTTCTACCATTCACTTGTCCTAGGTCGCACTCAAGTATCTGGAGAAGGAGAGTTGCCTTATAGTCCGTGTCAGCATTCTTGGTCAGTAAGTTGACAGGATTTGACTTGTTTGGTATGCAGGCTATTACATTAGTCACTTTCACCATATCCTTACAAAAAGTCTTCTTGGGAACCGTCTTTGATCTGAAGCCTTTCGAAGCTGGGGAGCTTTGGTGAAAGGACTTCAGATGGTAGGTACTTTTAATGGGAGACTTAGTCGGTTATATGTGGATTTCGATCATAGTGTTGCTTCTCATGGACCAACTTCAAAACTACCAAAAAATAATATTTTTATGTGTGGGTTTCGATTGAAATATGGATGTTGATTTCTTGGCATGATTTCATTTAAAAATAAGATTTTGATATGAATAAAGCTACAAATTTGATAGATTCCTTCTAATGATTCAAGATGATGGGTGATATTTGGATTTTATTTTTTAGTAAATAGAAAGACTGTGATTGGGGTTTTCTTTTGGTAAGTTAAGCGGATGATTTGGGTCGTGTTTTATAGAATGATTGAGGTCAATGAGTATATTAATTGATGAGAGAGTGATAATTTTTTAGTTATCATTTTTACTATAAAAATTACAGTATTTTTTGTATAAATAATATTTAAAAGTGAAATATGGATTTAAATAAAAAAAAAACAATGTACGTGGTGAAATTTCCACTAATGTTATACTTCGATTGAATTCAAATCCAAATTAAATTTTATAGATACAATCTAATTTAACTTGAGGAATAAGGATCCAAGAGCCTTGTGAAAAATTATAGATGAGATACGCCTTTTTTGGGTTACCTTTTAAGTTGCTAAAAATAAATGATGAATATGTGAATAACATTTGTGAGTTCTAAGAATCGCATGGTTAAAATTAATGTTCAATTTTTAAAAGTGTTTTTTAAACAACTAAAACGGGAACCCAATAAAGGTGATTCATTTCATATATTTGAAATTTCCGAGTTGAACAATCTTGATTAGGTTTAAATGTTTTTTCATGAACGAAATCCACCTGGTAGTTATGTTTTTAGCGTCAAGGAACATGTACTAAGATTACGTGCGACTCACTTAGATCATGACCTTGAACCACACATAAAAAAAAAAAAAAAAACACTTTTTTCAGTATCAATGATTACTACCATTGAACATGATATAATTATAATATCTTTTCAAATACTGTATACGACCTTATCAAACATGCGTCACATTTTACGGGCTTCGAGGAAACTGAGATGTTTGAAAACCCAATACATTACCATTTCCATGTCTTGTAACCGCGAATATTGCTATTGATGGCCGAAAAGAGGTTGGATCTGCATTTTCTAATTCTAGTAATTTGATCAACTTGCTAATGTACATTGTGTTTGTATTGATTTTTGCCTCTCTGTCATTTATGTAACAAAAGGCAAACACTTTGTGTTTTATAGTGCCTTGTTCCTTTGCTTAAAATGAGGATCCCTTAGCTTTGGGTATCATTTCTACAATAATTGACATTTATGCTACACCTTGACAAAACTACGCCATTTCCATATGTTCCACTATAGTGTGAAATCTTAGTCATTTGTCAACTCGCAACCATTTTTTTAGTACATTAAGCGGAGTTGAACTGCAAAGGAACAAAGAAGAAAGATACATTAGGTGTTTATTCATTTCCTGCTCCCTGTGATAAGAATCATGGCCTTATTTCTTGATGGGATTTTGATAACGGGTGCGTCAACGTAGATGATCACACAGATTCGCACGTTAAGAGTACAAATTAGTAAAACAGGCAGGGCCGAGGCCGACCCATCTATAAAAATGGACTTTATAACGGAATCGAGCTGGAACACACCACTAGTCTGGGGAGACAAGGAAAGAAAGAGACGGGATACATTAAATCCACAACAATTTCCACAAAAAATCGATAAAATAAACTTGTACTAAGGTCACCTCAAAATCAAGCAATGTCGCCTCTAGTTGGGGCGGAACAAAAAGTAGGATTGAGTTGAGATGAGAGGAGATAAATCCGCAACAACTTTAGCAAGAGTTGGATAAAGGAAAAGCGTAATAAGCTGTTGGGACACCTTATGAGTCCTACCAAAACATATGCCTGAAGTTAGGGGTGGAACGAAAAGTGAGGAAGAGATGGAGCAACCATAACTCCACAATAATTGTACCAAAAGATCAATAAAGTAATAATGTAGGCCTTGAGAAATCCTGGGATATTTGTTAAATATTATGTCAAATCTTTAATCCTAATCAATGCAGGCAAGATATGACTGAACAACTCTCTAATTGGTATTAACACAATTATATAGTCATGTACGGTTGAGCAACAATGTCCAAACACATTTCAATCAATTAATGTGCCCTCGTAGGTTTGGCAACAGTTCGGTTCAGCCAAAATCATCACCGAACCACCAATTTTTTGGCTGTACCATAATCGCACCATAACCACATAATACTGACATGGATAGCCACGTGAAATTCCTAGTTAGGAGCAGGATCCCAGGTGGACAAATATCTTTGGAGATTCAATCATCTCTTCATTTAGATAATGTCATATTGAAATAAATCAACTTTGCAAAGTAGTCTGTAGTCCTACCAATTTTCCCAATACCATAACCTCATAACATAGTTCATATTTAAGAACTTGAGAACAATTTTTCCAGATTGATTCATGATACGGCAAAACAATCTCGAATCGAATTAGAACAGCTTGCACAAGCGCACACAAAAAACTACAATTTCTTCTCTCTTCTAGTTAACTATAGAAGACAACTTTAGATGGAGCAAGCCATTCTGTTAGGAGTTTTTCTCGGAGAGAGCGGACCTACCATGAAACTTTCATGAATCTACACTTACTCATCATAAGAAAGTGGCCTAAGTCCACTATCACAAGTAACCAACAAGGCTTCCAAACATTGTGAAGCTACAACCCAACTAGTTTTAATGAATTATGTGATTCCAAGTACAAATCATTCATTCAGGACAATGCTAACAACTACAAACGAGCACGCATGAACTCATGGCAGACGTAATATTACCCACATGTGGGACTCAACTCAAGCCCACTCCTCATTTCATACAATGTCGACAGAGGTTGTCCAGCCAAAGCCTTGTAACTTTCTCCATGTTGTTCTCTGCTCAAATCCATCGCTCTTCTAGGAACCCTTTTTGGGATAAAACTAGGCTATATTAACCAATTTCCTTACAAGGCTAGATCACCTATTTTTGGGGGGAAAAAAACCTAGTCCGTCGTAATCAATACTTCAACAGAGTTTTCAAGATGAAGGTGAGTCCAAAATCCTCTAAATTTGGTATAAACCACATGCATTCATTCTAACTATTTTTTTCATTTTTTGATTCAGTTACTGGGTTGGACGGACCGTAAGTTAAGGCAAAATGACAACGAATCACTGAAGAACGTCAAAATAGGTAACATGCATCGATATATATTTCAGAGTTCATACAACTTAATACTGAATGATCAAACTTTGTTAAACTCACTCCCACAAACCCACATTCCCTGTTATCTGCCTGAGGTCCATATGAAGTAATTTTCAATTATTTGTAAGAGGTGACATGTTATATGTCTGAACTAATGAGCGCATAATTTTTATTTCTGGTTTCAGGAAATTGCTCTACTTGCTTCTCAGGAAAGATGTTTTTTGATGAACAAAAATACTATGTGGAACCAACTGATACCTTTTCAGCCTCATGGCAACCTAAGAAAGTGGAAACTGTCTTTCAAGAAGAATCATCTGAGCCATTTGCCTTTCTTGCTATCGGAACTTTTGGCACCGAACTGAGGGATACAGAACCCCCAACACCCACATTTCCTATGCCTTTCGAGAAAACAACCAATGAACAGAAAGAGACGAGAGAGAATGATCTGGAGCTTATAAACTATGAGCTAGAGAAGTTTCTTGAAGTTGAAGCTGAAGATACTGGGAATTATTCTTCACCGAGGAGCAGCCTGGCAAGCATCATAACCATCTGTAAAGAAGGGATTGAAGGTGCAGATTCTGAAGCCACAAATATGGTTGCATTTCCTCTGCAAAATTCTCTCTTTGGCTCATCAATTCAACTGGCTAGAGTAAGAATACAACCAGTAGAAAAAGCATCATTCGACGAGATCTTTAAGAAAAACAAGATAGTCGATGACGATTCTAACTGGAAACATGAAGGATCGGAGAAACAAGCTAAGGGAAATTGTGTAACGCATTTCATGAAGAAAATGATAAAGAAGCTCCATTCTACATCTAAAAGAAGTACTGCTTCTTTTAGTGGAGATGCTACTGAATGTTGTTCAATTACAAGGAAACTCCCCAAGGTAAGTAAACTCTTATCAAATGTTTGGTACAAGGTACCGCCCGGGATAATAGGCAAGATTTTTTTACTCTTTCTATCTTAAATGTATCGAATATTATCCATTTCAACAAACCTAATAAATATCCAAAAGCCTAACCAATCAAAAGATGGATACCATTTTTACGTTCCCGTATACAAAACACAAGCTCATAAAACTCCAAATCTTAATATATAATCTCTCTAAAAATTGAATGGATGCTGAAAACGAGCAGGAAAATCTGAATTTACCACTTCTACAATTCTCATTTAATTTATTGCGTGCAGGGACTAAAAGTATTCAACAGGAAGGTCCACCATGAAGGATTAATAACTGAAAAACAATTCAAGTTGCAAAAAGGTATGGCCAAAAACATTGCACAAGAACATGAAAATGACCATCGGTTGGAAAAGGACAATGGAAAGAGAAAGCCTTCTCAAACAGCAAACATAAAGCAATATGAACAGAATGTCATGAACCGATCTCCAAATGGTATCGACAAAGGTGCTTCAACGGTGAATAGCGAGCACTGGATCAGAACAGATGCTGATTGTAAGTAATGTGTGTGTATCTCTCTCACAGGTTAAACTTTTAGATGAGGTGATTTAATATAGTAAAGAAAAGACAGAAAAAGGTCCAAATGTCAATGCAACCCATATATTAAAATTGTGCACGCATTATGCCTTTGATAAAAATGTAAAATCCACCCTACACATGAAGGGCTTTTTTGAAGATAAAAATTAAATAAATAAATGTGTTCCCACTCTAATAACTTAAATTTTTGTTCAACACTTCTTGCACTCTTACTTGTGCTTGCGTTGCAGACTTGGTCTTGGAGCTGTCAGAGCATAAATGCTTGAAGCTAACATAAACTGGCCTTGCTCATCCATCAAGAAAGTAAAGGAGGAGTTCGATTATCTGTTGTATATTGTAGTTGCTTTAGTAATCGAGTATGAATTCAAATGTTAAATGAAGATAAAATAGGACCCTCTCCTATATATCTATCTCCATAAGCTTTCTAGATCTAATTATTTATGCGAAAAGTTTTCAGTGTTTAAACTAAAGAGTCAATGTTGGAAAAAGAGTCAATGTTGGAACAATGTAATTGGGCACTTGTATTACCTGAATACAGTTAACTATTTGTGTGAAAATCATGTATGCTTTAAAGTTATTTCTACTCTTAAATACACTCCTAAAGAGTTGACAGTAATGTTATTAATTTCTATCAAGCTGGCAAGTATTTATAGTAAATTCGTAAGTACCTATAATTTTCCAGTTGAACAACATAAGAGTGTGATTTCCAAGCACTTGGCACCATCCCTTAAGTCATTGAATGAATCAAAAAACATCGCCAGAAACTTCTCCAAATAAAACTTGAGATAATCATCTTATCATGAAACAAATTTATTATTCATATAACAGAAAGACATTAGTATATTTTTCTCTTCAAGTGTCCATTCGGTTGGGTTGTGTACCCATATAGTATATTTTGCTACAATAAAATAATTATGTATAATAAATAAATTTTGATTTTATTTATTTATTGCATTATTTACTATTAAGCATGAGAATTAAAATGTCTTTGATCACTTGAGATAATATAAGTTGGGTACTTGCATTGATAAGTACAGTGTGAAATAATTTATATTTTGATCATAAATAACTTGTTCACTACTGATATGGTCCATCTATTTACCTCGACCTCATATTTCCCGATGACTCCCAACTCGGTCTTCAAAATATATTCGTCGGGTATGATGGAAAACATCCCGAGGATATGGAAAATATCCTCGACCTCTCTCCTAATCGTACCATGAGGTCGGGCAGTGGAGTCCTCGGTATTCAAGGTCCTCATGCTTTTTACTTCAACGATACCACATCCTCCTACGAATAGTGATGTGCCACACTTGATACCCCACAAGACTTCTAGATGCAAGAGGAGTTTACTGTTATTAGACTTGTACTGATCTCACATTTGTTGTGCATGTCAAACATCCACTTCCGATAGGACTCTATGAGATAAAGATTTCCCAATTGTTCAATCCTAATAGGATTCAACCACCTAACACTATAAATACATGGTTTCACCTCATTATTCAGGTACTACTTTTATGCAATTTTCAGTCCATAGCCTCATGCACATATTTTAACTTAAGCATCGGAGGGACGACGAGGACACACCTCGACGCCTTTGTTTCAGGTACTAGAAGATCACGTTCGTGCTCGCCATCAGTCGTCCAGCTTGGAATTGTTCGGGTACGATTTTTGGTAGCATCATTGGCGCCGTCTGTGGGAAACGCTACCAAAAGCCATGGTAAACATACGTTCAAGTCTTCCACCAGCAAGCTCATCCGCTCCAAATCAACCTCCTCTTGAGGATATCCCTGTTCCTCAAGAGGAATCATCAGAAGTGCCAGAGCCCCAGCCGGCAGTCGTCACTACCGGGGCCTTTGAAGAGCTCAGGCAACAGGTCGCCACACTGACTCAGCTGCTAAGTCAAAGAAATTCGCATCCGGCACCCCAGGGGGGTTTTATGGCTGATGCTCAAGCTCGAGTTCAGTGACATGTCCCTGATAATGGCGGAGCAGGGGCCTCGAGCATACCACATGTGACCTCGGCCTCAAGATCAGTAACCATGGAATCCGGGGAACTCGCTAGGATTATTCAAGAAGGAATTACGGCGGGCCTACTTCAGGGCAACAAAGGGTTAACAAGATTTAGTACCAACACTCCTTTTACTCTCGAGATATTGACATTCTCCTTGCCAGACAGATTCAAGTATAAAAGAGTATGATGGGACTATCGATCCAATCAACCATCTTAACGTATACATCAACGTCATGAACCTACAGGTTGCACCGGATCAGGTGATGTGCAAGGCCTTCCCGCAAACTTTGATTAATGCTGCTAGGGATTGGTTCTCGACTCAATAGCCTCATTCTCAGATTTAGCGGACAAGTTCTCCGCCTTCTTCGCAAGCAGTAAACGCATCAGGAAAACGACAGCCTCCCTCATGCAACTTCGACAGGGGCAAAATGAGACCCTATGCGAATTCATGACGAGGTTCAACAAGGAAAGGCTACAAATTCCCGACCTTTATATAACGGCAGCGATTTCTGCCCTCACATATGCCATAAAGTGTAAGGCTTTCAAAATGTCGCTATCCAAAACTCTGTCGAAGACAGTGACCGAGCTTCTTACCCGAGGAGAGAAGTACATAAATATGGAGGAAACACTGAACCCAAGGAAGGTTGGACCATCCCATGATAGGGTCGAGCATAAACGACTGCATGACCTGAGCCCCCGTCAAGAACCACCTCGGAGTAAACAAAGGCAGGAGGCTCCCCCGACGTCATTCACGCGTTTAAATACATTGAAAACAAATATTTTGATGGAGATCAAGGATATGAAGGAGCTCAAATGGCCTGCGAGAATGAGGTCACCACCCCAGTACAGGGACATGAGCAAGTACTGTGAGTTCCATCGGGATCATGTGCATACCACGAAAAACTGTAAGGCCCTACAACGGGAGATTGAAGCCCTTATTAAAAGGAGACTTCTGAGTTCCTACGGCGGTAATGACAAATGCTCGAAGAATGATTATGGTAGGGAAAGAGCTTCTGAAGCAAAAAGGGATGGTCAACCCACTGCTGGAATCATCAACATCATTGTCGGGGGTATTGCGTCAGGAGGAGATTTGAACACTGGGCGGAAGCAGTATGCCCAGCAATACATGACATCCTCGAAAGCACATCATGGTGACCTTGAGAACATAACATTTGGTATAAAGGATCTAGAGGACGTATCTTTTCCCCATGATGATGCCCTAGTCATCTCTGCAATAGTAGCAAACTTTGAGGTAAAGAGGATCTTAATTGACAACGGGAGTGCCGCTAACATATTGTCACACGAAACCTTCACAAAAATGGGAATCTCTCCCGAACAGTTGAAGACAGTGAAAACCCCCCTTCAAGGATTCCGGGGGGGTATTATTGTTCTGGAGGGAGTGGTCGAGCTACCTCTTACCTTAAGCTCGGGTAAAGAACAGGTAACGGTGATTACATCTTTTCAGATTGTCCGGTTATCCATGGCATACAACGCCATTCTAGGAAGACCATTGCTCAATAAGGTAAAAGCCATTGTGTCCACCTTCCACCTCGCCATGAAGTTCCCCACCAATCATGGCGTCGGGGTTGTAGTGGAAACCAAGCTGCTGCCAGACAATGCTATGTTACTTGTGTTCAGGAAATAAAGATGGACGTCATGCAAATCTCAAAAAAGGAGGAAAAGCTCGAGCATAGGGGGAGACTCGCTCTAGTGGAGGAGTTGATGGAGATAAAGCTCGAGCAAGGGAAGAAAGTAACGGTTGGTCGAGATCTGAATACGACCCTCATGACCGAACTTATCGATTGATTATCCCGCAACATTAATGTCTTCGCATGGAAGGTGGAGGATATGCCTGGCATCGACCCCGAGGTTGTAGTACACAGGCTCAACACTAAGCCCGAGACTCATCCAGTCAAGCAAAGAAAGAGGCAGTTTACACCGGAACGACGACAGGTCATAAAGGAAAAAATTGATAAACTGATCAGGGCTCAGTTCATCCATGAGGTCAATTATCCTGACTGGCTCACCAATGTCGTCCCGGTAAAAAAGGCTTGTGGTAAATGGAGAGTCTGCATCGATTTCACAAACCTCAATAAAGCATGCCCAAAAGACAGCTACCCCCTACCTCGAATCGACGATTTGGTGGATAGTACGTCAGGACACAAATTATATAGGTTTTTGGATGCATTCTCGGGTTACCATCATATTTTTATGGCCGAGGAAGACCAAGGAAAGACGTCATGCAGGATCAACATATCAAAGACTTGTTAATAAAGTTTTTGTAGGTATGGTCGGGAGAAATATTGAGGCCTACGTTGATGACATGGTTGTAAAGAGCAAGCAAGTAGGCAACCATGTATCAGACCTCGAGGAGGTATTCGCCACGCTGCGTAAGTACAGAATGAAGCTAAATCCGAAAAAATGTGCATTTGACGTTGCCTCGGGAAAGTTCTTGAGTTTTATGATCACTCATAGGGGAATCGAAGCCAACCCAGACAAAATACGGGCGTTGGCATCAATGGAGCCACTAAAACCAAGAAGGAGGTCCAGAAATTAACAGGCCGTGTTGCTGCCCTCAACAGGTTTACGTCCTGAGCAGCCGACAAATGCTTCCCCTTCTTCTTCTTCAAAGTCCTCAGGGAAACCGAAATTTTGAATGGGATGAGGAATGTGAAAGGGCTTTTCATGAACTTAAGGAAATGCTGGCATCCCCTCCTATCCTCACTAAACCCCAGCATGGTGATACTCTGTATTTAGACTTGGCTGTATCCCAAAATGTAGTAAGCGGTGTGCTAGTGAAAGAAGTCAACAAAGCCCACAACCCATATACTACGTCAGTAAGGTCTTGCTCGATGCAGAGACCAGATATACTTTGGCAGAACAGCTTGCTCTTGCATTGGTTGTGGTAGCACGGAAGCTCAGACAATATTTTCAATCTCACCCCATAGTTGTGCTCACTAATCAACCCCTTAAGCGTATATTACAAAAACCCGACGTTTCCGGTAGGTTACTAAAGTGGGCAATTGAACTGGGAGAATTTGATATCGAGTATAAATCCCGACCATCTATCAAGGCGCAGGCCTTGGTTGACTTCATTGCAGAACTCACCCCAAGGCCTCGGGGGCCAGGGGATAACTCGGACAATTATACTTCAGACACTTGGAACATCTTTGTTGATGGAGCATCCAATTCGTCAGGTTCCAGAGCCGGGGTTATCATCACGAGCCCTGACAAACTCGTGGATATTCATTGTGCACTCAGGTTTGAGTTTGAAGCTACCAACAACGAGGCCGAATATGAGGCCGTCATCATCGCCCTTGAGCTAGCCCGAAATCTTGAGCTCGAGCATATTAAAATTTTCAATGATTCTTAGCTTGTGGTCGGTCAGATAGAAGGCACATTCGAAAGGAAAGAGGAGGAGATGAGCTTGTATTGTCTAAAAGTCCATGATCTCCAGCGACAATTTAAGAGTTGCAAAATCATAAAAATTCCTCGGGCTGATAACGGTAAAGCTGATGCATTATCTA